TTGTTCCAGTGATCTGTATTTCTGTCTTTGTGCCAGTACCATACTGTCTTGATGACTATAGCTTTGTAGTGTAGTCCGAAGTCAGGCAGGTTGATTCCTCCAGTTCCATTCTTCTTTCTCAAGATTGCTTTGGCTATTCAAGGTTTTTTGTATTTCCATACAAATTGTGAAATTATTTGTTCTAGTTCTCTGAAAATTACCATTGGTAGCTTGATAGGGATTGTGTTGAATCTATAGGTTGCTTTGGGTAGTATACTCATTTTCACTATATTGATTCTTCTGATCCATGAACACGGTATATTTCTCCATCTATTTGTGTCATCTTTGATTTCTTTCATCAGTGTTTTATAGTTTTCTATATATAGGTCTTTTGTTTCTTTAGGTAGATTTATTCCCAAGTATTTTATTCTTTTTGTTGCAATGGTGAGTGGAATTGTTTCCTTAATTTCTCTTTCTGTTTTCTCATTGTTAGCGTATAGGAATGCAAGGGATTTCTGTGTGTTAATTTTATATCCTGCAACTTTCCTCTATTCATTGATTAGCTCTAGTAATTTTCTGGTGGAGTCTTTAGGGTTTTCTATGTAGAGGATCATGTCATCTGTAAATCAACACGATATTAACCTTTTTAATTTTTAAATCCTCGAGATAAAACTGTATTATTATTTTAGTTTAAACTCACCTTTTCTGATTTTTTAAAATATTGAAGTAAAGTTGATTTACAATGTCTTATTAGTTTCAGGTGTACAGCATAGTGATTCAGTTATGTGTATGTGTGTGTGTGTATATATTTTCAGATTCTCTTCCTTTATAGGTTATTGTAAAATATTAACTGTAGTTCTCTGTGCTATACAGTAGGTCCTTTTGATTGTCTACTTTATACTAGTGTGTATATGTACCACTGATGTACTTTCTGTCTCTATGAATTTGTCTATCCCAGACATTTCATATAAATATGTATGTATGTGATAGTCGCTCAGTTGTGTCCGACTCTTTGCAACCCCATGGACTGTAGCCTGCCAGGCTTCTCTGACCATGGAATTCTCCAGGCAAGAATACTGGAGTGGGTTTCAGTCTCCATCTCCAGGGGATCTTCCCAACCCAGTGATTGAACCTGGCTCTCCTGCGTTGGCAGGTGAGTTCTTTACCACTGAACCTTCTGGGGAGCCCAAAGGCCACATGGGTCATTCCCATCTTCTAGTAGTCACTTTAAAAAGGAAAAGGAAATAGGTGACACCAATTCTAATATGTCTCATGTCAATATATCCAAAATACTGTCATTTTAACATGTAATCAATATAGGAAAGTACTAATGAGATATCCCACATTCTTTTTTATGCTAAGTCTTTGAAATCTGGTGCATATTTCTCCTAGCATATCTCAATTCAGATGATAAATTTTCATTGAAATACTTGGCCTCTGTTTAGATTTCATGAAACTCACATTTGGAGAAGTCGATTCCTGTACCCAGGTCGTCCCAATGATGTTGAATAGTTTACTAGTCAGGATGATGAAGAGCAATTTTTAAATCAATCAGAAGTAATTCACAGGTAAACTTCAGTTTCCCAGTTGCAGCAGCCACAGGTACTGAATATTGACAGTATTGGATAACCCAGCGCTAGTATCACAGGAAATCCTGTGTGCGTTGCCATAGGGCCAGACAGCCCTTTGACCATAGGGTGGTCTTTTGCAAGTGAGTCAGCAAATGGCATCTACCCACAGGATTATCGTGAACATTCCATGTAGGCACGTTTGTTCTCTCTGGTCCATGGTAATAGACTTGCAGCCCTTCCTGGAAGCTTGGAACACAGGGAGCGCAAACATTAGTCTCACCCCCATGCCTTTGCTCAGGGTGCCCTCCTCTCTGACACCATCTCTAACTTGGCCCTGTCGGACGTCTCTACACTATGCTTCTCTGTTCCAAATTTCCTCTCTCCTCCCACCAAGGGGACTCCTGCCTGAGATCAACTCTGAGAAAGCAAGACCCAGTTTTGTTTTCTTGTGTCACTGTCCCTCGTGGAGTGTGCTGATTGTGTTTAAGTAGTTGTATTTCGGCACCCTTGGGTGTCACGACTCTCTTTTGGAGTGGTTGCCTTTTAAATCATGACTTTTAAATAGATTCAATTTTAGGCTCTGGAGGCAGCAAGTTGCTAGTGAGGCATCTGTCTCTGGGAGCATCCAAACAGAAAAGACTGAGGATTCCCTTGTGGAGGGATCACTGGCTGCCCTCAGGGTGAGTCTACATGGCACTTGCAGGCTGGAAGGCCCTTGAAGGCAGAAATTGTAGAAAACGTCTGATAAATCCTAATGTTGTTATCGCCAGAAACAGACGTGGTACAAGCATCATCAACTTAGATGAATTTCCTACTTGTCTGCATAATGATAGACTTGTGTCCATTGAGGTGAGGAACCATGAAGCTGGGAGATTCAGGGGTGGGTTGACCTGTGGTGCTTTTTGGAAGAGTGAATAAAAAAGTAGAAATTCCATTGTGTGTGTGTGTTTGTTTCGGGTTTAAAAGGAGGGGGAAGATGCTTGGGATTCTGACTATCAACTGGAAGCCTAGACTCCTGTGTCTGATGGAGGAGGGGTCCAAGGGTGAGGCCTCCTGGGTCCCTGGAGAAGAGGGATGGTGGGGGTGTGTGCAGGATAGAATTCCCTGGGCTGCAGTCCAGTGACTTTAATAGAGTATTGCCACCCTGAAGGAGGTCGGGTGGACTAGTAATTGTTTAACCTTGGGGGCTGTGATAGTAAACTTCTTAGCTCTCGAACTAGCATGGCCCATTAATGCCCCCAGTCTGTTCAGCATTCCTGCAGCCATGGCCTTGGAGAGACCCTTCTCATCCCGACTTTAGACCTGGTCTTTGGATCTGCTTGACTACTGGACTAACAGGAAATGTGATGCAAGCAGAAGCTTGACAAGTACTCATGGATTGGGGTGATCTTTCGCTGCCCTGGGGACCCCTGCCACCATGACCACATGTGGAAGTCCAGGCTAACCTGCAGGGTGATTAGATACATGTGGCTCAGTCAGCCAGGACACCCCAACCAGTGTCAGCCCTCTGAAAGGGAGCTGCTGAACCATCCTCCAGCTGACCCTAGACCAAATTGCCAACCCATGGAATGAGGTAAATACAAGACAGTTATTCTAGAGGCTTCCCTAGTGGTCCAGTGGTTAAGAATCTGCCTTGCAATGCAGAGGATTGAAGTTCAATCCTTGAGGGGTAATGAAGATCCCAGATGCTGCCCATCATCTGAGCCTGGGAGCTGCAACTGGAGTGTCCATGCACCTCCAAAGGGATCCTGCATGACTTATTAAAGATATTGTCTGCCACAACTAATACCCAATGCAGCCAAATAAATGCATATAAGGATGTTTATATAGGCAATTATTCTAAGCAACTGAGGTTTGAAGGGGCTTGTTATGTAGCAATGTATCCATACTGATACAGGCGTGTCCCCTCTGTCCGGGATGTGGTCTCTTTCTCCTTCTCAACGTGACTCAATGATTAAAATCTGAAGATCTGCCACTTTTTAGCTGCACGATCGCCAATGTGGTATTCCTTTTTGAACCTCAGATTCTTCTGAAAACAGGGATGAGAATAATAGTGCCTATCACAAGGAGTAGTGGTGAAGATTAAATCTGTTATTTTCCTTTCATGACCCTCAGAGGTCATGCTGGTAATGAAACCTGTCTGGCAGGGGTGCGGGCGGGGCCATAGGGGGCCAGACTGCTCTTCTTGTGCCCCTCCCCCTGGGGTTTTCTAGGGCCATTGAAGTGGACTATAGTTCCCTGCTCCACTGAGGCTGGCTTTAACCATATGATTTACTTTACTCCACGGAACGTTAGCACCCCAACCACCGCAGGGACCTTTGGTGCACTTGGTTTATGTGCCCCATGTCATCTGCCATGAGACAGACATTCGCCAGGGAGCCACAGATCTCAGAAGACTGGAACCCCACGGAGGAGAACTGGAGTCTCCCTCCCAGACTGCAGCCAAACCCATCAGCACACAGCCAGAAACAGAGCTGCCCTTAGGAATGGCTACCAACCCTTAGGAAGAAGAATGCTTCTTGTCAAGTCTCGATTTGGGCATGGTTTGTTACACATTACTACAGCATCAACTAATACAACTTTGTTGTTTTAAGCTACTGAGATTGGGGATTTATTTGTTACTGTCGCATAATCCAGTCTTTCCTGATAGCTGCCAAAGTCTAGTGTCTTCTAACTAATGGCTCCCCAGTAAGTGGCTGCTGTTAGGACAGTAACTATTTGCCCAGACACACTGTCTCCAGAACCAGCAAAGTCTTAAAGTCAGTAGTGTGTGTGCTCAGTCACTCAGTTGTGTCCGAATCTGTGATCTCATGAACTATAGCTCACCAGGCTCCTCTGTCCCTGGAATTCTCAAGGCAAGAATATCGAAGTGGGATGCCATGCCCTCCTCCAGGGGATCTTCCCAACCCAGGGATTGAACCCACGTCTTCTGAATTGGCGGGCAGATTCTTTCCCATCTGAGCCACCAGGGAAGCCCCCTTAATGGTGCTAGGCCCTGAACTAAGTCCTTTTTTCATTTTCTTTCATTTGACTCTTAAGACAGCCCTTTGAGGATATAGCTGTTAGTATCCACAGTTTACAAACATAGATACTGATGTTGGTAACTGAAAAGAAATTAATAAGGAGAACTGTGCATGGAATCCAGAGTCTGACCCTCCCAGCTGTTTGACCAAAGGCAAGTGACACCACAATCCGTGCCTCAGTTTGTTCCTCTGTAAAATGGGGACAATACTTGCAACTTCAGAGTTGTTGTGATTATGAAATGAGGTACTGCATGGAAAACACTTAACATAGTGACCCGGCAGGAAGTAATCCCTTAACAACAGTTGGCATCTTCCCTTTCTTTCTCCCAAAGAGAGGTTCCCAAGGATTCAGACCCCTGCTTTTTGCATCCCATCTCCCCAAAATGCATCACATCACAAAGACTCAGGACTGTTCTGTTAACTTGTTTAATTTATAGACACATGGGAAGTCGTAGCTGAGAACGAATGGAGACCAAACACCACATGGGCCTCAGTTCTTCACTCAGCCTTGCTAGAAGCCTGGGGGCTTGGACGACAGCTGGTCTTCTTGATGGTCAACAAACGAGAGCCTGAGGGTACCAGGGTCCCAGGCTTGCTGTGGCAGGCGGCCTCTGTGCCACAGCCCTGGGCAGCAAATCTGATGCCTGTGGGAGGGGATTTCAGACTAGAATCAAGATCCCCAATGCCTCCCTACTCCCAATCCAGGGGTCATGCCCCAGCCACCTCCCCCCAGTTCTTTGGAGCCACTCTCTCCCTTAGAATCTGGAAGAATGAGGCTCCAGTTCTGGGACCTTCTGGGAACCCTGTGCCCTCCTGAAATCCAGGTTCCCCTCACCAGGCTGTGCGAGGCCAGACATGGTGACACAGCGGGTTTCCTCGCCAATACAGGGCACTTCCTGAGTTGGGGCGCATGTTTCTGTAGAGAGGCTGAAGCAAGAAGGACACCGAAGGCCATTCTCTGTCAGATTTCTCCTGAACGCTGGGGAGGAGAGTGAAGGGTAAGGTGCACGGGGACATTAGTCCCTTTCCCAACATCACAACCACTCAGCGGACACCAGTTGCTAACCTAGACTGCATTTTTAGAAAATAATATTTATGTCACTGGATCTTAGTTGCACCCTGTGGATCTAGTTCCCTGACCAGGGATGAAACCCCTGCATAGGGCGCATGGAGTCTTAGTCACTGGACCATTGGGGAAGTCCCTGGACACTGCAGTTTACAGGAGAAGAAACCAAGGCTCAACGCAAGGAAGACGCTTGTCTCAGGTTAGAGTGCAGGTCAGTGACAGGTGCTCACAGCTGGCTCTGGCGGGGGGAGGGGTGGGCAGGGAGGGACTCCAGCTGTGGGGCTCAGCTGGGGCTCACCGGCCGGGGGTTTGTGGTTGCAGCCATCCTTCTGGCAGCAGCGAGTGTCGGACCCCATGTAGTTCTCCGGAGCCACGGTGATGGAGAGGAATGCCGGGTCACACTCACTGGATTTCGAGCACCCTTTGTAGCTGGTCATGTCCACAGAGCCCTCTGCATCATGAGGGTGGACAGAGGACTCAGGAGCCCTGGTCTGGACCCTGGTCCCGGGGTATTTCCATCACCTTGCAGCTTCCCCAGCCCACTGCTGTCTAGAGAGGCCTCTTTAATCTCCCCAGAGTTATACACCCTTAACTGCCTGGGGCAAGGCCTGGAGGGTTGAGTATTGTACCCAACCCTTCCTTCCTCTGCCCCTGGCTGCGTTGGTCTCTCCTGAGTAGTCCCTTCAGCTCCACGGCCACCTCACTGCCATTCTCTAAAGGTCACACCTGGAGAGGTCTTTTCTAGGCCACCTATGACTACCCCCAGACCTGTGTGAAATGGTCTCTTCCAACTTTCAGCCCTCCCCTGACCCCTGGAATTCCTTCCACCAAATCCTAGGATGCAGCCCTCAGCCACCACCCTGTAACACCCGTCTCCTCCTTCATCTAAGATTTCCCAGGGTCACTCCTCAGACTTCCTACCTATGATCTCTTGTGGCCCTCCTTGGCTACTCTCAGGTCTTGCCTGAAGTGGTCTCTTCCAGTCTCCCTGCACTTCCCCTTCCCCACCATAGATAGGGTGGTCTCCTCCAGGCCTAGGGTTTCTGCTCTGTACCCCAAGTACTTGGGTGGGTGGGTGCTCAGTCCTGTCTGTCTCTTTGCAAACTCATGGACTGAGTCCTTGGATTATCTGTCCTTATCTCTCTCTCTCTTTCTCTCTCTCTCTCTGTTCCAATACTTGGACTTCTCAGGTGGTGCAGTGGTAAAAACCCCCACTGCCAATGTAGGAGACACAAAATACTGGTTCGATCCCTGGGTTGGAAAGATCCCCTGGAGGAGGAAATGGCAAGCCACTTCAGTATTCTTACCTGGAAAATCCCATGGACAGGCTACACCTGATCACAGAGTCAACCTAGTCACATTCTTTGCAACTCACCCCAGTATTCTTTACACCCACCCCTACACTTTTGCATATTAGATTCCCCCCCCCCCCATGGATTTCACTCTTCCCCTGTGTTCTTTCCTAATCCCTTCTTGCCTAAGAAATTCTCTATATCTGCTCCGCCCCCATCATGTCTTTGGAGTCTCATTTTCAGAAATCCTTGGCAACAGTGGTTTCTGTCATTCCACTGGATTCTCTTTCCTCCTATCCCTCTTTCCCGCCCCCTCTTCACTCAAAGGTTCCTCCCAGTGCGTGGTAGTATCTGCTACCCTGAAGGCATCCCCCACCTCCCCAGGATCTGACTCTATTCCCCACCCTCTTACTATTGTTAGTCTCAGTCATGACGGAGATGCAGGAGTCCTCGTCCTGGGCGCAAGTCTTCATTACTCCAGTGCATATGGCTCCATTCCTGATACACACCTCACAGCTCAGTGGGTACGCTGAGGTATAGAGAGAGAGGCTGTAGTCCAAGTGGTGTGGTCTCTGGGCCATGACTTCCAAGTCCAGAAGGAGATGGGGAAGGGGTATCTGAAGGAAGAGGGAAAGGTGTCTCCCTGGTTATTCATCAGTGGGACATTGGCCACTGAACAGAGAACTATCTGAAGCTCCATCAGATACGCTATGGTGCCACCAGCAAGGCTGCTTCCAGGGGTGGATAGCAACTCCATCAAGGAGCAAGTTTACCTAATTACAGAGTTGGGGAATTTGGACACTAGGGCCCTCTGAGAAAGCTGGAGGATAGTAAGGAGTCCTGCCGAAGGTTTCCATGCATTTTTTAAAAATTTATCCTTTAATTTTCTTTTTGCTGTTTTAGACTGTGCTGGGTTGTCCTTGCTTCGTGTGGGTGTTCTCCAGTTGTAGTGAGTGGGGGCTACTCTCTCGTTGTGGTGCCTGGGCTTCTCACTTGTGGTGGCTCCTCCTGTTGCAGAGCACAGGCTCTAGAGCACGAGCTTAGTAGTTGTGGCGCAAGGGCTTAGTTGTCCCAAGGCATGTGGAATCTTCCTGGACCAGGGATCGAACCCATGTCACCTGCGTTGGCAGGCAGATTCTCAACCACTGGACCACGGGGGAGGTCCTTCATGGACTTCTGTGAACCTTCAGGTCCAGCTGATTCTCAGAGGCGGGACCCTCTTCCTTGTGGGTACCACACTTAACGCTGGTAAACAGTATAGTCGCTCAGGCAGGGGTATCTAAGGCTGGGATCCGCAACCCAGCTCAAGAAGGAAGACCAAGGACTAGGAGGACAAGAGCCTGGCTCCTTGGTCCTGAGAGAGGAGGCAACTGGGGCCCAGACACAGGGGAACTGGGTCCTGGGGAAAGCGGAGTTGCCTGAATTGCATCTAAGGAAAGAAGACCCCGGGGACCTGAACTCCTTAGAGTCCTGGGAGAAAGGAAATCTCTCCCCCTCACCTCACTTTCCTTTTTTCTAATCATACTCTCATCTGAATTCCTAGAATTCAGGTGTTTTATTTTGAGACACTGTTGGAGGGAGGGGAGCAGAGGCCATCCAAACCCCTCCTTTCTCAGAGATTTAAACCCACATGTTTTTGAACTTTTCCTCCCTTGGGGACCCAGGCTTTCTCTCTTTTACCCTCTGCCTTTACCATGAATCTGAATTCCCAGGACACCTCCTCTTTCCCCCTCACCTTCAAGGACCTGGCTAAATGCTTTCCTATAGTCTTTGTTTCAGGATTCCAGGAGTCCAGACTCCTAGTCACTTACCCAGACCCAGGAGGGTGCAGAGCAGCATGGAGGCTAGCAGGAAAGTCTCATGTTTTGTGGAAGGCTTCATGATAGTTGGATGAGTGAAGATGCAGTCCCAGGTCTGGAGTTCATCTTATAGGAAGGTGAGAAGGGGCGGATCTGGATCTACCTTGCCCCTAGGTTAAGAAAGATGATGTAAGGTCTGAAGGTAGGTCTCTGTAGCTCTGAGTGGGGGAGGTGGAACAAGAATCCAAAAGGAACATGGGCATCTTGTGCTCAGCCCCCTTCTCCATGGGGACCCCAGGAATCTGGGCTTCCAACCCTCTATCTGGTCTCACCACCTTCATCCCCCCCCCCCCCCCCCCCCCTTTTTTCTTACCTGAAGCCCAAGATCAGAATCAGGTCATTTTGTTTCCTGCAGGATAGAACAGTGCTAGGATTCAGATTCCCTGTCCCTTGTCTCTCTTCCCAAGGAGGTGCCCAGTGAGGTTGAGGCCCTACCGGGAAGCACCCAGCAAATCCAGGCTTGTTCTGCTGCTTGGCTCAATACCCGGTTTTCTGTGTTTGGTCTGTCTCCAGCTCTGACCCCACCCCAAGATGCACTTCTGGGTCTCTCGGAGACTGAACAGAGGGGTGCTTGTCATTAGGCCAGGATGGGCATGGTACCAGATGCCCAGAAACCACATTGGAAAGCTGAGGCATGGCTGGAAGGACTCAAGGTTGGGTGTGTGTCTGGTTTGGAAATATACTTTGTGTTTTATTGAGATCCTTTACCTCAGGCACATGATCTTGAGAGATCAGAGATTTTGTGTCTGTGTGTATTTTTTAACGTGTGTATATATATTTTTTCGTGTGTGTGTGTATTTTTTTGGGTGTAATTTTTCGTGTGTGGCAGGGTAGGGAAGGTGGCTGTGGGTGGGTAGCCAGCCATAGGTGGAGGGGATCTTGTTGCGGTAGGCCCCTGGCTCCTTGCAAAAATCCACTCAAGTTTGCTGTCCTCTCGCTTTCAAGCTCGTGGGCCTCCAGCCTCCCAAGGCCAGTGACCAGGAGACCGGCGAGCAGGTGTCCGGCCCAGGCGGCTGCCCCCCCATCCACACCACCACCGAGGACAGTGCGGGGGTGCAGACCGAGTTCTAAGCTGGTCGCCCCCTGGACCCTCTGTTGGACACAGCACACAGGCCACCCACTCCGGGGCCCTGGCTCGGCTCTGGGAGGGGTGCACAGGATCTGTGCCTTCCGGGCAGGGGGCGGGGGCAGGGCTGGTGTGGCACCGAGGGGGCTGGGCGGGGATGGGCCCACTTGAGTCACTTTATGGGTTTGGTCACACTTGGTTGCTCTGTTTTCTCTTCTATGGGATGACAAGGCTTCAGTTGGGGCGCTGAGATTGGCGAATTTCTTCCGGGGACCAATCTTGAAGGCCGAATGGGCTGCTAGGATACCCTGGTGTGAAAGTTATCAGGAGGAAGGGGTAGAGAGCTGTTTGGCTAGAGGGAGGCGGGAAAAGCTCGTTGCTAGGGAACTCAGCGCCTCTCGCTGCTCTCTGCTGAGAAGCACTAAGCATGCGCAGTGGTGACGTAGCCCCTTGTGCGCAGCGGTTCGAAAGGCCGGAGCCTCGTGCGTGCGCTTGCGCAGTGAAGGCCTCCCTGGGCGCACCCGCTGTGAGCACCCTAAATTCAGACCTTCCTGCGTCTTGCTCAGGCGAAGCCCACACGAAGTTGACATGCCGGAGATCAGCCTTTGCCATGTGGTGTCCGGCGCAGGAGCCAGGACTTGGTGAGAGACTGGCGTGGAGGAAGTTGGAAGAAGTGAAGGATATCATGAGGGGGCTCTGTGAGAACTTTTGGAATATTAAAGGTGTTGAAAAATAATCCGTATCTGGGCTGCCAAGAAAAAAAGAGTTTATTGGGGTTCTTAGGAATTGGAATTTGGGAGACACAGATTCCCGTAAAACTTAACAGTGTTGGCAGAGGGAGTCAGGGGCTTATGAGTACTGCGGTCAGCAGGTTGTTAAAATTGTGTGGAGAGAATTATAATTGACTGTGATACATGTCATATTTGATACAAATAAATATTTGACTTTAAAGAAGCTGTCATGAGTTACTGGAGGGTAAGGGTCTGATAGGCATCTTGAGTTTCTGGCACGTAGTCTGGATGCCTGTGCGAATACAGTAAGTAGTCTAAAGGTCAGATTCCTTTGTGGCAGAGACCTGCTTGATCAGAAATAGCTACTCAGTAAGTGGCAGCTATTACGAATGTAAATATTTGGCCAGACACATTGTCTCTGGAGCCACCACTGTCTTAACAGTGCGTTTGCTCAGTCACTCAGTTGGGTTTGATTCTTTGTGACCCCATGGACTGTAGCCCACCAGGTTCCTTTCTCCATGGGATTCTCCAGGCAAAAATACTAGAGTGGGTTGCCATGACCTCTTCCAGGGGCTCTTCCCCATCCCAGGGATTGAACCCCCATCTCCTGCATTGGCAGGCAGATTCTTTCCCATCTGAGGCACCAGGGAAGCCCCCTTAAAAGTGCAAGTTACACCACAATCTGTGCCTCAGTTTGTTCCTCTGTAAAATGGGGGCAATACTTTCAACCTCACAGAGTTGTGATTATGAAATGAGGTACTACATGGAAAACACTTAGCATAGGGACCAGGCAGGAAGTAACCCCTTAAAAAAAGGTATGTTCTTCTCTCTTTTCCTTCCAAAGAGGGGGTTCCCCAGGGTTGAGATCCCAGCTTTTCCATCCCATCTCCCAGAAATGCATCACGTCACAAAGACTCAGGCTTGTTGTTTTAACTGGTTTAATTTGTAGACACCTGGGAACCTGTCTGAGAACGAATGGAGACCACACACCATATGGGCCTCAGTTCTTCACTCAGCCTTGCCAGAAGCCTGGGGGCTTGGACGACAGCTGGTTTTCTTGATGGTCAACAAACGAGAGCCTGAGGGCACCAGGGTCCCAGGCTTGCTGTGGCAGGTGGTCTCCGTACCACAGCCCTGGGCAGCAAATTTGATACCTGCGGGAGGGGATTATAGAGTCAGGGTCTCCAGTGCCTCCCTCCTCCTAGTCCAGAGTCACGTGCCCCAGCCACCTTCTCCCCCAGATCTTTGGAGCCACTCTCTCCCTTAGAATCTGGAAGAATGAGGCTCCAGTTCTGGGACCTTCTGGGAACACTGTGCCCTCCTCCCGAATTCCAGGTGCCCCTTACCAGGCTGTGTGAGGCCAGACACGGCGACACAGTGAGTTTCCTCACCAACGCAGACTGTTTCCTGAGTCGAAGTGCATGTTTCCGTAAAGGCAGCGATGCAGGAAGGACACCGAAGGCCATTCTCTGTGTGGTTTCTCACGAACGCTGAAGAGGAGGGTGGAGGGGAAGGTAATCGGAGACGTTAGTCCCTTTCCCACCATCACAGCCACTCAGGGCACACCAGTTGCTAACGCACGCTGCACTTCAGAAAACAGTGTTTGACCGCACTGGATCTTCACTGCGGCCCGAGGAATCCAGTTCCCTGACCACGGATCAAACCCCTGCATAGGGCACATGGAGACTTAGTCAGTGGACCAGCAGGGAAGTCCCTGGACACTGCAGTTTACAGTAGAAGAAACCAAGGCTCAGCGCAAGGAGGATGCTCATCCCTGGTTACAGTGAGGGTCAGGAATGGGTGCTCACAGGTGGCCCTGGCGGGGGAAGGTGGGCAGGGAGGGACTCCAGCTGTGGGGCTCAGCCGGGGCTTACCGGGCATGGGGTCCTGGTTGCACCCATCGTCCTGGCAGCAGCGCCTCTTGGAGCCCAATTGGTTCTCAGTGTTCACGGTGATGGTGAAGGATCCTGATTCACACTCGCTGGATTTCGCACACCCCTTGTAGCTGGTCACCGCCAAGGAGCCCTCTGCAGGATGGCCGTGGGCAGAACGGTCAGTGGCCCCCGGTCTGGACCCTTGCCCTGGGTTGTCTCTCCCACCTTATAGTTGCCCCAGCCCACTGCTGTCTAGAGAAGTGTCTTCCAGCTCCCCATATTCAAACCCCTTTTCTGCCTGGGGCATTGTCTGAATGGTTTATCAGGTATGCACCCATCCTCCCCCTGTCCCCAGGCTGAACTGGACTCTCCAGAGTGGCCCCTTCCGCCGCAGGGCCACCCCGCTGCCATCCTGCAGGGTTCGCACCTGGAGTGGGCTTTTCCAGACCACCTGTTACTACGCCCATGCCTGTATGAATGGTCTCTTCCAGTCTTCAGCCCTCCCCTGACCCCTGGAATTCCTTCCACCAAATGCTGGGATGCGGCTGCCATCCCCGGCCGCTGTCACACCCGTTTCCTTCTGCATCTAAAGTGGTCTCTTCCAGGTTCCCAGGGTCACTTCCCAGACCTCCTACCTATGGCCTCTTGCTGCCCTCTTTGGCTACTCTCAGGTTTTGCCTCAAGTGGTCTCTTCTGTTCGCGCTGGACTTCCCCCTCCCCACCACAGGGTGGTCTCTTCCAGCCCTAGAGTTTCCACTCTTCACCCGACACATGTGTGGGTGCAAGTGTGCTCAGTCGTGTCTGACTCTTGGGGACCTCATGGACTGAGTCAGGGATCATCTGTCCTTATATACTCTTTCTATATGCCAATATTGGGGCTCCCCAGGTGGTGCAGTGGTAAAGAACCCCCCTGCCAATGCAGGAGATGTAAAAGACGTGGGTCCATCCCAGGGTGGGAAGATGCCCAGGAGGAGGAAATTGTAAGCCACTCCAGTACTCTTGCCTGGAAAATGCCATGGACGGAGGAGCCTGGCGGGCTATACTCCATGGGGTCGCAAAGAGTCAGACACGACTGAGCATACACCCAACTCAACCAGCCCCAGTATCTCCCTTTTTCTCCTGTCAGGAAAGGTCTTTTGCAGCCTGCATCCCTGGGAGATCACTCACGCCCCCAGAGAGTCAACTTGATCACATTCCTTGCACCTCACCCTAGCCTCTTCTCTACACCCACCCCTCCATCTTTTGGATATTAGATTTCCCCCCTCTCTGGATTTCTCTCTTGCCCCGTGTCCTTTCCTAATTTCTTCTTTTGTAAGAAAGTCTGTATCTGCCCCTCCCTATCCTCTCTTTGGAGTCTCATCTTCAGAAATCCTTGGCAATAGTGGTTTCTGTCATTCCATTGGATTCTCTGTCTGCCACCCACCTCAAGATTGCCTTTCCCTCTTTCCTGACATATCATCACTCAAAGGTTCCTTGCAGTACATGGCAGTATCTGCCACCCTGAAGCACCCCTCATCTCCCCAGCATCTGATGCCATCCCCTGCCTCCTTACTTCTGTTGCTCTCAGTCACGACAACAATGCAGGAGTCCTCGTCCGGGGCACAAGTCTGCAGTTTTCCATTGCAGTTGGGACTGTCGCTGACACACACCTCACAGCTTAGTGAGCACCCTGTGGTATAGAGAGCGAAAGCTGGATATAGTCTGTGGGTCACAGCGTCCTAGTCCAGAGGGGAATGGGGCTGCGGGGGCGGCGAAGGAAGACGGACAGGTGTCTCCCTGGCTATTCATGGGCGGGACATTGGCTGCTGAGCAGGGATCTGTCTGAAGCTTGGCAGGGATGCCATGGTGCTGTGAGCAAAGCTGCTTTCGGGTTGGGGGCAGAAGCAGTTCCGACCAGGGAGCAAATTTACCTAATTAGAAGGCTGGGGACTTTGGACGCGAGACCCCCTGAGCAAGCTTGGGGACAGTGAGGGGTCCTGCTGAATATTACCATGGACTTAAACATTTTTTCTCATCTTTTAATTTTTTTTTCTATTTTTGATTTGCAGGGTCTTCTTGCTTCCTGTGGGTTTTTCTCTAATTGTAGCGGTTATAGTCTAGTGTCTGGTTGCTGAGTTTTGGCTTCTCATTGGTGGTGGCTCTGCTGCAGAGCACAGAGCATGGGCTCAGCAGTTGTGGTAAAACATCTTAGTTGCCCCAGGGCATGGGGAATCTTCCTGGACCAGGGATCGAACCCATGTCACCTGCGTTGGCAGGCAGATTCTCAACCACTGGACCACTGGGGAAGTCCTTCATGGAATTTTGTGAACCATTAGGTCCAGCTGGTTCTCAGAAGCAGAACCCACTTCCTCGTGGGTACCACACTTAAGTCTTGTAGACAGTGGAAATTCAGGCAGGGGTACCTGAGGCTGAGATCTGCATCCCAGATAAAAACTGATGAATGACTAAGAGGACAAGGGCCTGGCTCCTCAGTCCTGAGAGAGGAGGAAACTGGGGACGCAGACACAAGGCAGCTGGGTCCTGCGGAAAATGGAGTTGCCTGAAATGCATCTAAGGGAGGAGGACACTGGGAAGCTGAACTGCTTAGAATTCTGGAAGCAAGGAAATTTCTCCCCCTTGCCTCACTTTTCTTTTTTCTAATCATACTCTCATCTGATATTCTAGAATAAAGGTGTCTTATTTTGAGACACTGCCGAAGAGGAGAGGAGCAGAGCCCATCCAAACCCCTCCTGTCTCAAAGATTCAAAACCACACATTTTTGAACTCTTCTTCCCTTGAGGACTCAGGGTTTGTCTCCTCCTTTACCCCCTGCCCTTCTCCAAGAATCTAAATTCCTGGGACACCTCCTCTTTCCCTTCTTCCTCGAGGATCTGGCACAGTGCTCTATAATAGTCCTCATATCGAGGGTCTCAGGAGTCCAGAGCCCTAGTCACTTACCCAGACCCAGGAGGGTGCAGAGCAGCGCAGAGGCCAGCAGGAAGGTCTCAGGTTTCATGGAAGGCTTCATGATGGAGTGATGAGTGACCCTGCAGTTCCAGGTCTCCAGCTCTTCTTATAGGAAGCTGAGAAGGGGCGGGTCTGGACCCACCTTACCCCAGGCTAAGAAATTGTGTTTGAAGACCTAGGGATTGGTCTCTACAGTTCTGAGTGGGGGAGGCAGAACCAGAATTCAAAAGGAACAAGGGCATCTTGTACCCAGCCCCCTCCTCCATGGGGACCCCAGGAGTCTGGGCTTCCAACCCTCTCTCTGTCAGGCCTCACCCACTGTGTCCCCTTTTTTCCTGATCTAAAGCCCAAGATCAGAATCAAGTCATTTTTTCCCCTGTAGGTAGAGCAGCCGCTAGGACTCGGGTACCGCCTCCCTTCTCTGCCTTCCCCAGGAGGTGCCCAGTGTAGTTGAGGCCCCACTCCTGTAGGAGCGCCCAGCAAGTCCAGGCTCGTTCCGCAGGGGCATGCTTGGCTTATACTCCCTTTTCTGTTTCCTCTGTCTACACCTTCGCCTCCACTCCAGGATGCACCTGGGTCTTTTGGAGACTGGACAGAGGGGTGGTTGTCATCAGACCGGGATGGGCATGGTAGGAGACAGATACCCAGAAGTCTCATTGGAAAAGTGAGACATGGTTGAAAGCAGTCAAGGGTGGGTGTCTGGTTCGGGCACATACTTTTGTGTTTTATTAAGGTCCTTTACACACTCGGTCTACCTCAGGCATGATCTTCAGAGGTCAGAGATTTTTTTCGTATGTTTCTGTGTGTGTTTGTGTCTGTGTGTGTGGTGGGCATTATGAGCGTAGCCAGCCATCGGTGGAGGGAATCCTGTTGCAGTAGGCTCCCGGCTTCCTGAAAAAAATCCACTCAAGTTTGCTGGCCTCTTGCTTTCCAGGCTTCAGCTGGGGCACTGTGGATGGTGAATTTCTGCTGGGGACCTATCCTGCCGGCCAAGCCGGTTGCTAGGAAAGCCTGGTGTGAAAGTGACCGGGAGGAGGGGCTAGAGAGCGATTTGGCCAGAGCGAGGCGGGACAAGCTCGTTGCTAGGGGACTCAGCGCCTCTGGCCGCTCTGCGGACACACGCACTAAGCATGCGCAGTGGTGACGTAACCAACCGAAGCACCGCGGTTTGAAAGGCCCAAGCTTCGTGCGCTTGCGCATTGAAGTCCGTGGGGGGCGCCCCAGCTGAGTCCTCTAAACTGTCGCTTTCCTGCGTCTTCTTGGTCAGGCGAAGCCCACACGACGTTGACAAGCCAGAGATCTGCCTTAGCTGTGTGGTGTCCTGCAGTAGCCAGGACTCCTTGAGTGACTGGCGTGGGGTGTTGGAAGAATAAAGGAACTCGTGAGGGGGCTCTACGAGAACTTTTGGAGTCTCAAAAGTAAAATAATCCGTATCCGGGTGCCAAGAAGAAAGAGCTTGATTGGGTTTCCTAAGAATTGCAGTTTGGGAGACACAGATTCCGGTAAACTCTTGAGTGTTGGCAGAGCCAGTTAGGGGCTTGTGGGGACATAGGTCAGCAGGTTGTTAAAGTCGTGTGGAGAGTATTCAAATTGGCTGTGATACATGTAAAGGAATATTTGGCTTTAAAGAAGCTGTCATGAGTTTCTGTAGTGTAAGGGTGTGATCAGTATCTTGAGTTTCTGGCACATATTCTGGATGCCTGTGTGAATACAGTAAGTGGTCAAACGATCAGATCCCGTTGTGATCTGATCTGATCAGATCCCAAACGATCTTATCTGCAATGTCAGAATTCCTCAGTGCCCCCCACCCCCCACCCTGGCCAGTTGATCTTAGAGAATACTTTTAGCAATGTGGACTTCATTTCGGTTTTCCTTTCACAAGGGGACTTTGTGGCATTCTAAGGAGGGTCATGGGAGAATTTCTGGGAGGCCATAAGAGTATTTTGGAGAGCTATGGAACAGAAGATTTTCCAGAGAGAAAAGGAGGGAGGGAGCGCTTCCTGGGAAGGATCAGAGATGAATTTCCAGAGGAAAATGTTGTAGGGGACTCCAAGCAGAGTGTGGGGGGATTTATTATTATTATTTTTCAACGAGAAAAAATTAAATTATTTAGCTTAATTAAAATGAAAGAAAATTTAAAATTCAGTTCCAGTTAATTGGTGACGAAATCAAGTGTCCAGTAGCCAACACGTGCTTAGAGGTTACAAGCTTTAAAGAATTTGTTCGTAAGGTAGAGAGACTCCACATATGGAAAGAGCTTTAAAGTGTTCCCAATGTATTGTTTATGCTCTATAAACCCACTTTTTATGCATCCCCTTTACGCTTTTCAAAAGTACAATAATAATGGTGAGGGTGAGGTGCATGTTAGTCACTCAGTCACGTCCAACTCTCTGTGACCCCATGGATTGGGGCGCACCAGGCTCCTCCATTCATGGGATTTTCCAGGCAAGAATACTAGAATGGGTTGCCATTTCTTTCTCCAATTATTATTTTAACACTAAAAACATTTTGTATTCGGGTACAGCCAATTAACAATGCTGTGATAGTTTCTGATGAATAACGAAGGAACCTAGCTATTGTATACACATACAAGTATCCATTCTTCCTCTAACCCTGGAGTGTGTGGGGATTAATAGGGCAACTTAAACCTAGGGAATATCAGAGGGCTTGAGAGCACTCTCAGATTAATCTGAGAGCTGGGGACCTAGCTCTCATCTCTGAACCCTAACATTTCCTTTCCCATTCTTTTCTCCAGACCTACTGTGTAGAAAACCTGAAGGCAGACACTTACGGTAAATGGCGGGCAGCCAGGGCAGGCGAGAAGACCATCTCTATGGTGCCCTTGGTGATTCTGCGCACCACCACCCCATCTTTTTTTTTTTTTTGGCCTCTCTGCCATGTGGCATGCAGGGTGTTAGTTCTCTGACCAGGTACGGCAGCTGTACCCCAAGCAGTGGAAGCTCTGAGTCTTAATCACGGACCTGCCCAGAGCAGTCTCCCTGCCCCCATTCCTTAGTAGAAGTCTGAAGGTCCAGGGTCCAGACTCTGCTCTGGAGTTAACTGGAAGTGAGCGGAGGCAGTTTTCCCTTTGGGCCTCAGCATACTCAGTGAGCAGTGTGGTCCCTGTGCTCTTGGCAGAGAAGAAAGGTGATGCAAGGCTAGGCCAGGGATGCATCGGTGTGTGGCCTGTGTAGGTTGCTGCTCCTTTCAGGGCCTTAGTATCCTCAGTTGGAACAGAGTAAATCATTGGCACGCATCCTGCTTTCTGAAGTCTGAAGGCTTAGGACTGGAAGGCGTCTCATATCCTCTAAGCCAATTAAGCTCATTTTAAAGATGGGGAAACTGAGGCCTGGGAAGGGCCAAAGTGCAGTGGTCAGTCTTAGCAACCATTGTGGATATCTCAGTGCTTTGGTGCATGCTTGGTGAGGTTGGAGGGAGCCAAGGGAAAAGGAGAGTTTGACCCAGGATGGTGACAGAATTCCCAACAGGCTGTTCCCATCAGGCATAAGAAATCTGTGGGAGAAGTGAGCTAATGTGTTCCCAGGTGCTGCCTGGGTGTTCCCCCGCATGATCTGGCTCTCCAGGGAGTTGGATGTTGGAGCTGTTTTCGGCCCTCACATGTGGTGGTGCTAAGACCTGAACCCAGTGTGGGTGCTCTAGCCACCTTTTTCTTGTTTAGTTGTCTTCATATGTTGACTTTCTTTCCTTTTTATATTTATTTATATTTGGCTGTGTTGGGTCTTAAATTATGTCAGGTGAGACCTAGTTCTCTAGCCAGGGATTGGATCCTGGGGCCCCTTTCATTGGGAGCACGGAGTCTTAACCACTGGACCACCTGGGAAGTCTCTGTTGTTTTTTTTTTTAAGTCATTTAAAATTTTTTGTCACACCACATGACATGTTGGGACCTTTGTTCCTTGTCCAGGGAGTGATCCTGGGCCCCTCTTCCCTCCCGTGCCCACCGCCCCCCGCCCCACCCCAAGCCCCCTATTGGCAACATGGATTCTGAACCACTGGACTACCAAAGAAGTCCTGGCTTTCTCAATTTTGGCCATGTTCCTCCCTTCTGAATGTTTGGGTGTTTGGGGAGGGATGCTGGGTGCGAGGCTTACGGAATTGGGCTAGATATATTATTGTCTGTCTTATCCAGTGGTTCTGAAAATGTTTTGGTTCATAGACCATTTTGAGAATTAGAAGCTGAGAACTCTCCTACCAGCAATAATACACAAACCCACAAGATTTACTGAATGACCTTAGGTGTTTAAATATCTCATCGTTCCCTGACATGGTACAGTAAGAAATAACTTACAGTGAGAGATAACTTATTCAGCATTACAACTCTCTGGGAATACCCTGGTGGTCCAGTGGTTAGGACCCTACTCTCTGAGCGCCCAGGTTCAGTGCCCAGGTGGGAAACTGCAACCAACAAAAAACCTGCCAGTCACCATTCTAAACACCTCATATGGGTTAACTCATTGAATTCTCATAAAAATCCCGTGACCTCAATTCTATTTATTATCCCCTTATGTGATGAAGAAACTAGAGCCAGAGAAGCTATACAATTTGCCAAGAGCCAGTATTTTAAACTGAGAGAGATCCAGGTGGCTGACAAGTTAATCTCTCATACCTGGATTCAAGTCCCCATCTCTCCCTCTTACTCACTCTGTGACCTCAGGCGAATGGATTCATCTCGCAGAACCTGTTTTATCATCTGTCCATTGGGAATAATGTGATCTGAGCCCAGGGTTATCGTGAAGATCCAGTGACATCATGTTTGCAATAGTGCGCTGTCACTACGCAGGTGTTTGTGTAAAGGGTGGGGATTCTGGAGAAGGAAATGGCAACCCACTCCAGTATTCTTGCCTGGAAAAGTCCATGGACAGAGGAGCCTGGCGGGCTGCAGTCCATGGGGTTACGTGACTGAGCATGTGTGCATGAGGATGGAGGGAGATGGGTTGGTAGCAATAAAGTGGTAGAACTGAAAAAAAAAAAAAGGGTGGGGATTCATGTGTGTATTGCTGGATGATCCTGCTGGGCTCTTTTATGATCAGGAACATCCCATTTAATTGTGCACCGTAGCTGCAGTGGGAGCAAGAGGAGACAGAATGTAGGGAGTGAGGAAGCCAGAGGACTAAAGCGACTTAGCAGCAGCAGTACACAGGGTGACTTCAAACTCATTGAATCTAGTCTTGGTTCTTTTCAAGCAAGAGATAAGCCGTAAATTCAGGACACATAGACTGATCTGTAGGCTTTCCTTCTACTCTGTATTTTTTCCCTCAAATAATATCTCGCAGCACCTGTGTATTACCATCTGGGTTTCAGCTCGTGAAAGCCCCACACAGGTTTTTGGTTTGCAGTGACCAAAAGAGTCTTTCACCAACCCATCACCTGCTCCCAGGCTGGCAGTTCCAGCCTCTCGGCTAACCACCCCTGCACCAGAGGCTTGACTCCAGTCTCCTGCTGGAGGGACATTCTTAGAGGAATTGTACAGTAGCAAGTGAACATGTTCCATTTCTGTATTTCAGTGTTTTCTCTTCACCCTTTTTCCCATCATGGTGTTTTAAATTTCCTGCCTGCTTCTGGCAGGACACGTGTGTACAGCAGGGCCACAGTCCAGGGAACCGACCCAAGCGCAGCCCCCATCCTCTGCACCAGACCAAGGAACAGAACCCGCCTCCCCCACCAGAGTCTCCTTGAGCTCCTTCCTGTCACTGCCACCCGCAAGGGGAACCATAGCCCTGATTTTTAACAGCTCTGATTAACTTTTCCTATATGCAAATAGAGTCACACAGTATCTAGTGGGCATATTAGTACTTTCGCCCCTGACTGGTCTGTTCTTTGCCAGCTTTGTGTGTTAGTTTCATTCTGTTAGTTTCATCTTCCTTGCTGGGTGTGGCTCTAGAGGTTCATTCTCATTTCTGCCTAGGATTCCATTGTTGGAGATAAGTCCTGTAGTTTTATTAGCTTTACTTTTCAAATGGGTGTTGTGTGCATATGGTGCTTAACTCAGAAAGGCACAAAAGGGAGGGTATACACTGAAAAGGATGTCCTCCTCGTCAGCCACCTGCTTCAATCCCCTCCTGCCCTTCCCCTCCCTTT